TCGTGTAAGAACTTACGATTCCCCGGGGAATTGGGGATGAATATTTTAGGCCATGTCATGCGACATATATTTAATTTATACTCAGTAGAATAAAATTAACATGTCCGGGGGACTACGGGCGGTTTTAAACGATTTTGATTTTTGCGACGAGCACCGCAAACGTAAAATTTCGATTTAGGTAGGTACACGTGACAACGGCTAAACTGTAAATAGATAATAATAATAGTGCACTCGATTTATTACCTCCTTCCGTAAGCGAGCTTGATAATAATAATGTGACCTCTATGATAATATAATATAGCGATTTGCACTCGACAGGGCCTCGATAGAGTGAGCGCATAAAACAGATAAGACGTTTTGAAAATCTAATAATAAATTTATTGGTCTAGAGCATCATCAGTTCTAGCATAGGAGGTATAGGCTAGAGGAATCTCACTCGATGAGAAAAACAATTTGAATTAGTAATGTTAACATTAAATATTAATTATAATTATTTATATTTTATTAAGTGAATAAATTACTATGCGTACGATAATCGCTTGGATGATTTGACTATTTGAGACTGAAGGTTACCAATAAGGAGCCCGATATTATTGACGTCTTGTTATTAATTCAAAACAACACCGAAATTCTCATTAAAATGTTTTAATTTTAAACCACAGTCATTATAGAAATGATGATAAAAAATGTAATATTTAATTAATTAATATAATATTTTGATTTTACTTTTTTGTGCAATAAACCATTATGTTTTTCTAATTAATGATCCTAAAATAGAAATAGTAATCACCTACAATTAATTATTATAGGACGTTTTTTGAATAGGATAAAAATATATGAAGGTTATTATTAGGGAAGATCACTGTCCAGTGGTACGGGAAAGTGTTCAAAATTTGCATGGCGTACGGTGTTCTTATATAAAAAAAAATATTGAAAATTGCTGGTCTAGAACATCGCGTGTATTACGGCTGATGTGTGTAGTGTGTTATACTTTTATGTACACCAATAAATAATAATGCGAAGTTCAAAAAAAAAGCAATAGTAATTATAATGTAGCCACTAGCCTGCAATGTATATGTATACCTATTTATACGTCTCGCGGGTTGTCGTTATAGTTATTCGCTCAATTATAATATAATATAATAGGTTCCTACATTAAATATTGTGTGGTTTTATATTATATTATGTACTTAAATAAAACCCAATGAGGCATCATATCGTAAACCAAACAACCTTGCCGTATATTTCACATGATGTCCGTATAACTCTGCTCATTAATAATTGTCGGTCGTTTGGTTTGTTTTTTTTTTTATACAAAAACGTCGGGCCCACGAGGATGAAGTTTTTTTCGCAAAACACGATGATAACGTTATGTTTAGGTGTAGACTACAATATTATTAAAGATTCTCGAATGGGGGTAGGGGGTACATGGCCAAATGTTATTTGTTGTTGGTGTATCGGTATGGTAACGAATCACTTAAGCGTGGAACTGAAATCTGTCAAAAATCACGAACACAACCTACCTAAACAAACCACATTTGTATATACATATAATACATGAATATACATCAGAGTGATTTTTGAAGATTACTCACCCCCAGTTTTCTCTTTAATAGTACATATTTTACTCAAATTCGGATTTGTAGAATTTTTATGTAGACCTAACGACCATACTTTCAAATTTTTTATGCTACTTAAGGAGTATCCTTTAGCAATACAAACTTCTATTTTCCAAATGAGAACAGCACCCCTTGTTTACTAAAAATTATTTAGCAGATGATTTTTTTGAAAATTTTGATGTATCTAAATCACAATTCTAGTGATTTGCTTCTCAGTTATTAAAATGTTTATACTATAAGGATAATAATCCTTAAAAATGATTTTATAAAAATAAAAACTATATTTAATGTTTGATGTAGTATTTATTATATACTTGATCATTTTTACAATTTATTTATATTGATAAATCAAGAGAAGTAGCAAACATTTTCAAATCGTCTAAGCCCCCAATCTACTTAACCCATTACCATGAAAATATTATCCTTAAAACACATAGTTACTAAACTCAAAAATTTACTAGCTTGCATTTTGATTTAGATACATCAGAATTCTCAAAAAAGAAAATCTGCTAAATAATAAAAAACAATACTGGGAGTTCCTTTTTGAAAGACTGAAGTTTGTATTGTCACAGGATCATCTTTCAGTGCGGTACAACACATTTCAAAGATTCGAAAAATAGTCTTCAAGTGTATTAAAATTTCCAAAAATCTGAGTTTCAATACATGCTTAATATAAGCACACAAATAGGATGAGCATGCTTAAAAAATCACCTTGTAGGACTTACAATATTAAGTTTCAAGACAAGAATTTTGATGTAGGCGTAGGCGTAAATTATTTATATGAAAAAAAAAACTATGATAATTCTCGTTAGTTCAGGGCTCGTAAGTTCATGCATCTGCATGCTTTTTTTGTCACATAGGAAAACATACTAACTGAGATACAAATCCGTTTCATAACAATAAGTAATAATAATATAAAGTTTAATAGTGCATGTTTTGCATGTTTTGGGTGTAAAGACATATTTGGCATATAACCGTTTTTTAGAGTTTATAGTGCATATTATTTCATAAAAAAATTGTTTACACAATTATTTGAAAAGTTCTTGTTTCAAGATTATTTATTATGAGTGTTTCAAGTTCATATTTTTTTGTCACAAATAATATTCAGCAGTAAATTAACGATTTTCTTATTCTGTTTTAATAATTAAAAATGTATAGCCGAAATACTCGAAAATTGCATTATTTTATCGTTTTCTGTACATGATAAATTTGTTTGGTTTGTTTATTTATATAAAGGGCTACCAAATCTTCAAAGCTTTAAAATGTAACAGAGGGTTCCTCATACGATGACAATATAATTGCAGTTCAAATATATTAAAGAAACATGTAGGCAGGATTTTTTTTATATGCATTTATAGTTCAAATGTTCTACAAAATTCATAAAAATCACGAAAATTTGTAAATTATTTTATAGACAAAAAATAATAAAATGTTCAATTTTTATAGTTAAGGATTCAACATTTTAAACAAGGTTTCTCATAGGTAGTTCATACTGTAACCAAAAAATATATAAACACAGAAGTTTTTATTCATATGTATTTTAAGTTCAAATCGGAACGAAATTAGACTTTTTAACTGTAGTTAACTTGTTAACTGACCTTTTAACCGTAGAATTACGATTTTCGTTTTTGTGTTGTTATTTAAAAATATTTAACATGGAAATTTGAAATTAAGTATATTATTTCTTTGTATACACACTATGACATTTCCAGACGCAATTTTATTGAAAAAAATCAATCCAAAGTATTATGCTAATGTCTGCAGTAGTAAAATAAACTACTTTAATATCAATGATATCATAGAATATATACTTAGAATTATAGGCCGTTTTCATTCAGAATCGATTGATGGATTCAAATTTAACACATCCATCACTATAGATACCTATACGGCAGAGCGGTACCCTGAGCTTTTTAAACATTTAACACGATGCAGTTTGAAAACTCTTGTAAAAGAAAACAACTACTCTAGTCGATGGTTCTGTATACCTAACCTATGTAGAGGTGGGTATTAAAAAAAATACCGTCCAGGGGCAAAACGCACCTAGAATAACCCATAAGCAACCTAACATTGACCCACCCTCCATACTACTTACAATTACTATTTGCCTACTATAATAGTCATTATTTAGTAATCGTTTTTCACTTTCATATTGAGAACCCACTCCGCCCACCCGTCACTAAAAAATATTTTTTTTTAAATCGAGAAACAACTGCTTCTTCAAAGACCGATTCGTTTTGCTACTGTCTAAGTCTGCGGAGTGGGTATTGCACTCTCGCGAATATAATATTATAACAGTCGTCCGTTTCGCACAATGTTCATAATAATATATGAGCGAGTTGGCTGCAGTTCGTCGTTCCCTCGTCAGCGTGTGTGGATGCGACAAATTTCCACAGTGAACGTGCCAAACGACGAACGGGATCTGTGCCAGACGCGATTTTCGACCGTGTACGATGATTATATTTTGTCATATTATATTATTGCGGTACACTATACACTTTACTGCTCGCATGATATGATTTTCGTTGAATTTTTTATCGACGACTGTTCAACATTTACTTGGCCACTAGGTCGCGGCAAACACATTTCCGAGAGTCCAAATGTTTGTTAATATTATCCGTCGGACAGTGTATAATATAATATAAGCACACAATTATAATAATACGATACCTCCAAACGCATCGTTGTTATTAATTAAAAGGTAAAAGGTGCACAACTTTCATTCCGACCTTAATATTATTATTACTTTTTTTTTTGTTGATAGACGTGCCGAGTGAAAGCAGTTATCGTAGTTGTCAAAAGGGGCAACACATCAACGGACAACGCATCGACAACGAATGCGCCAAGACCGGCCCCGGTGGTAGATAATAACGAGAATATTATGTATCATTATTTTTCTTCGACAATAATCTTTTGCGGACCGGGCAATGACGAGAGCAGAGCACAAAATCGCTTTCGCATTTACCATACCTATTTACACACACGTATATAAAATGCGTATTCGATTTCATCGCGTTTTGGCTCGTTGACATTTAAGCGATGGTCGACGTACAACTGGCGTTCTGCCTCAGACGGCACACCACTACGAACACTTCGAAAAAACCATAATAATCACGTTTCATTCATCAGAAGTAAAACAAAGTTATGGAGGAAGAGGGCAAGACGAGGAGCACCCGAAGATGTAGGACAGAAAATATGAAATACAAAAAGTTTCCAAATTAAATAATATTTTTATGTATATATATATATGTTAAAATATATATAAGTGACACATTTTTGTACAATATATTTTATAATCATTAATTTTAAGTACAAAAATCTGGGGAAAGAGAGTTGAGGTTGGGAGGGGGGGAGTTGTTATTTAACAAATAACTCAGTCAATTTAGATCGGAGCGGGATGACCGTTTTACATGCCGGATCATCCGTCGATCGGTTTATCACAATGTCAAGTGAAAAATAGTCGTATAAAATATTTTTTTTTTTAAAATAGGAAAAAAATTTTTACATCACATTATTTTGATGATATTATTATACACGCGCACGGCACATACGCGTACCCATATCTATTATAGACATATTAAACACAATAAACGTAATACTCGACGATATAATAATGTACAGTTGATATTATGTATGCGCGCATGCGCGATTATGATAATAACAATAATAATATGCATGAACATAAATAGGAACGACAAAGTGAGGTGCAGGGTGCAGCAGTGAGACTGGATGGTGTTGGGGGCTGCGCTCAGTCGGGCGCAGAGCGACCAGCTGCTAAGATGAAGAAGGACGGGTGGTCATACTTTTGTACATATAGAACAGAACCACGTCCATGGCGGCCCGGGCATCCTCTTTGCTGTCGTGGCCGTGTTCGAGTTGGATTTCGCGGTTTAGTAGTCGAGAGGCTAGCACTTTCAGTGGAAACTTGAATGTGGGATTTGACGAGGCGCTCGGCACGGGAGGGACCAGCAAAGACGTGTCCACCACCACTCGGTGGATTATGCGAAGCATCAGCAGGTCGGTGCCCAGTCCATGGCCGACTAGTATCGTGTCTTTCTTGATGAATTGCAACAAGTCACGCCGGACCTGGTTCAGCGTCTTGGCCGAATAGCGTGCGAAGTGTTCCGCGGTGATACCACTGAACCGCGTGTTGTAATCGACAATCGGACGGCTGGGTTTGACCAGAGTGTCGTAGACGACTACACCGGCGATGTCCACCAAAGTCACTTTGGTCAACTCCAGGCCACACTCGGTGTAACACATTTCACAATCTAAGGCGTACACGCTGCGATTGTCCTGAGACTCTTTTCCTGGACCCGACGTGTACGGGCTGTTCTCGTCCATCGTATCAACGAAATTGCCGATCTCGTTTTGTCCATCCACGAATCCATTCCAAACGTGCCGGTCGGCTTTGGTGCAACCTTGCGACGTCTGGCAGTCATCATTGCAGCAATCGTACGCTCTCGTATTGAACTTGTACTTGCCGTAGTGGTACACGCATCGGCCGGGCATCGCAGCCCTTGCCTCGTCCCTCACATTGAAGAACGACGTGCACCGAACGCACGGAACGTGATTATGCGATGACGGTTGCTGCTGCTTTTGTTTCTGCTGTCCATCACCGGTATCTTTGGGAAGCGCGAGCTGCCGTGGAGCTGGCGAAGAGGACGTCGACGGCGTCTCCGGCATTTCCAAACAGAACTCTTTGGCCACAGGGTTCAGCATCTTGTGCCGCATGTTCTGCCTGAAGCAATCCGCATACCCAGGCTTTAAGGACTGTGTCGGAAATCCGCAATCGTACAGATCTGTCTCACACAGCACGTAAAATGATTTCAGATGAGTATAGATGGCTTCGTCACTCAACTCCAAGAACCCCCGCATGCTATCCCCAAACGCTTCCCCTGTCTCAGAGATAAAGGACGATAGCTGCAGCGCTGAAGACGGTGGTGGCACTCTCGAAGTATTTGTCGTTTTCGTCCGGATCCCCTTTTCTACGGTTATCGATCCTGTTTCGTTCGTCGTGGTCACCGTGGTCTCCGTTGGCGTCTTCGTCTCGCCTAACCCTTCTGCTTTATTCTTATTGAATTTTTTCCTCAACCTTTTCCCCATTTTCTTGCACGTTGTTTCAAGATTGACATTATTGGTTTTGTTATTGTTGTCTGCGATGTTACAGTTGTTATTCAGCTCGTTGTAGTCCATACATTTAACATTTTCCTTGTTTCGTTGTTTCGATTGTTCCTTCTTCCGGTTCAGTTCAGCAGTCGATTTCTGGACAACCTTCTCTGAAAAATACAAGTGGTAAACCAGTCGTCAGTAATAGTATAGAATAAAAATTATTTAAATAAATATTACTAGGAAAATCTTATATTATAAAAGGTTTGCAATATTAGAATTTTTATGGGCCACGACAAGCTCATAAGACCAGATGGTTGAGATGTCCGATGATTGAATTAAACAAATTAAAGGCTCTACTTTCTATATATACATAATATATTGATTCATGATATTGTTTATAGGAAATAATATTGACGTACTCGATCTTAAACTAATGGGTAATAGATGATTTTCCACGAACTCGACTAAGTAATGTGAAATATCTGATGATAGAATAAAATAATAATAAAACTCAAAACATGTTTTAAAGTTTAGAGTTTTAGACAGTTAACCACACACCAGCCGAGACTTATAGTTGTCTAGATGCGTAATTGTCGTTTGACAGACGAATGTTTGCAATAATGAAAAAAAAACAATATTTTTAAAATATTTATATTTCTCAATAGTGAGAACACGTGTTCTACAAATAGCAGCTGGTTAGTAAGCACCACTGTGTATAGGCGCTTTGTCAGCTTGTAATCGAAACCACCACTAAATAAAGTAGGTACGGACGTAAATATATATATACATATTTTGCAAGTAAAATATAATAACGAGCGGGCACTCTAATAGGCTGGACCCTGGACATGTCACGATGCGTGTGGGTGATGGTGCGTGATTTATCGGAGAGTTATGAGAATATTGTCTGAGAAAAAAACACCCGTTTTGTAATCGAATATGTTTCTCAACGGTGAAGCTTTAGAACGGAAAAAACACGTTTCAACGTGGTGCCACAGCAGTTGGTTCGATTTCAAACGATTGCACATTATCTATACTACACCAGACGGCGAGAAAGACTCGGCCGACAGATGTGCAGATGAGAATATTAAGACCAACGCGAAGTCGATGTATTAATAATAATAACCATATGACAGATGTGTGCATAACATGTTATACAAATTATATTTACTACCATCGAGAAACGCGCCACCACGTGCTTTTAAAATAGATCACTTTTTAGTTTTTACAAAATAATCACTGGCCGCCACTACGAGTACGCGTGGCGGCGGCGACGACCCCGTTAAGATATAAAAAACGCATACATTATTATAAATCAGCTCGAGATTATGGAAACATTAGAAGGCAGAAATACTTATGTATACAGCAGGAGGAGTCCATGCGTCATATACTTTCTCGCGGCGGTAATCGGGACACTCGTTTATCGGAGACTTTAATTCCACCGTCGCAACTACAGCAGCACCTGCAAGTACAACACGAGGATCGTGTGAACTTGTACATATATTCCACATGAGTGTTGTGCGTGTATATATTATTGTTGATGTGATCAAAATGGCTTACAATAATTTTACCCAGTAGGTGGTGGTGGTGGTGGACAGCACCGATTGATCGACACGTGTCGTCGACGTCGTCGTACTAGGAAGATTTCTCTTTGGTGTGAGAGAAAACCGCGAAAAATAACGCGTGCTCCGAACCTTGCCCGGGTTTGAGCAGGTATAAAATATAAAAAGGCCAATAATAAATACGCAACTTAACATATTAAATTAGTGTAAACAGAGCACCCGCGTGTATACATCGAAAGCAGCGGGGCATCGACAGCAGCACCAAATATTATAATAGCTGCAATAATAACATCGTATTATTAATACTACGATAATGTCGTCGTCGTACTCCAATGATGGAAGCCGGGAGAAGAAAAATTAATCTGCTCGCTCGTCTACTTTCACTTGATCTCTATTATAATATAAACGGCTGAGCAGCAGCACTGCAGCTGAATAATATACCTACGCGCGAACGACCAGACAACTTTCTTCGGTTGTTTATAATTTTAGTATACATACGAGCGGTAAGTGTTAGTATATTATACAGGATGCATATCATGAATATGATAATATGACACATTTAAAACGACTCTACACCCGCATTTATTGTCTCCGTCTTAGAAATGTGTCTTATGGCAAATTTACGCTCAGCAGTTCACGTTTAGCTTCGTTGATTTAAAAATTAGAATGAATCAACCAATCGTGAAACGATATTTTTACGATGATTCTGTTTTTAAATGATAATTATAAGAATTGCACTATTTTAAATATCTTAACGAAACTAAACTAAAACATAAAAAATGTTCTTACCATTATATTAGTAATAATAATAAAAATATGCCGATTCACTATATATAAAATTTAAACTACAATGAAACTTAACGTAAACTGCTGGGAGTACATTTTCTACTTATATTACGGACTTGTAAGGCGGATACAAAGAATGCCGGTGTATCCAAAGTCACACGAAAACGACATTTTAGAAAAATCTTCCGGCCCCAAACAGCGTTTCGTATGTACTCGATTTATACGAATTATTTTCAAAAAACGATGGCCAAATCTCAAAGGGCTCTTTCCTGTTTCCCGCGTACCTACACTGAAAACAAAATAATAATATGCATGAATTATATAATTAAAACGTCCACGTCGTGTCACTCTAAACTGTTGGCACGTCAATCCGAAACAACGACAACCGTGTCAGAGAGGTTTACCGTCACCATATATTACACCACCGAACAACAAAATGATGAGAATTGAGAATATAATATATACATCTTATATTTAGTAGACGGCACCGAGAAAATGCCAACGCAAGAGAGCCAGATGACGAGATCGTATTTACTGTTTTTCCCCTCCATAGGTACGAACCGATACGATATTCGACAAGGTGAACTGCTGCTTGCGGGGGGAAAAAATTATAAAAAGATTAACAATTTTTTTTACTGTGCGCATGTGACATAATATTATCTCGATTAATTTGTTTTTCTTCCATAAAACCCGTACACACAAAAAGTTGGACGCAACAGTTATCGTCGTCGCCGCCGCCGCCGCCCCAGTCGTCTCGAGCTGACAAATTCTTGAGAAAAAACATTTACTTCTCAGCTCGACCCACTATGGACAGCAATCGCGGCGCACGCTGTACCTATGTCGTCAAGTATTGTACAGGGCGATTTTTTTAACACAAAAAACGACTAACCTTTATGCAACTCTAACTCTAAACCCGACCAAACTAAAAAGCGATTACCTATATAATATGTAAATAATTTTTAGCAAGCACTGTAGCTCCAACTGCAAGGTTAAGTCGGGTTGACGAATATATATCGAACGCGTAAGAAATAGAGTAATAAGAGAATCGTCCTGTATAATAAAATCTTTTTTTTTTATATAATTTGTTCTAGATGATGCTATCGGGCATATGTATAGGTAGTGGTCGTCAGCCTTGAATTTTATAGCGTACATATTTTTTTTGCCTAAACCACTAATATTATTACCACTGTTACTACTACCTACCATTTTACCGCCTGTTACAATATTTGGCAATTATTATATTTTTTTTTTGTACATTTTAATGTATTATTATACATAGGTACACATTATAATATATGTTTATAATAAGCAAAGCCTCCGTGCGTATAGGCCGCAGTGTGTGTGTAGGTACATACGGCGGCTAAGGTCATTTTTTTTCTTCGTGAGACGCGCACAATATTATTCACTAAAACCCGAGGATACAGATATTATACTATTGTATAATACCGACAGCCGAATAAATTAACACGACGAGAGAACGATAATAATTCATGGCGATCGTAATGATCCGACCACGGGTCCCCCCAGAAAATCGGGGTCGTAATCTAGAGAGAGAGAGAGAAAAAAACTGATTAAAAATATAATCATTAAGATGCTCGAGAAAATATCCATATCAAGTCGTGATAATACGAGTAGGTAATAAAAAACAAGTGGTTTACGAATCATTTTCGGTCGGAAATCGCGGAAACGGTGCTGGGAATAAACGATATAATAGGTAATAATAATAATACTGTCGTGGATTTTTAAAAATACTTCGGGCAAATTCGATATAATAATATATTATTAATACGCGCATCACACGCCCTTCCGAATGTGACATCCCACTGTCGAGGTTGCTCTTGGTATAATATGTAATATGTATATTGTATATACATTTAACATTATAATCTATTACAATACCGCGACCAGTGTTACACCGGAAGTACCTAGGTACAGTAATACAGTATCTAAATAATTGGTGCACATATATATATAGGATATCATTCGGAAATTGATACGAGGCGAGTCCAGACCGGACCTATATATAGGTATATGTCAGATGTAGAACCATTCAAGCCACAAAAAATCAAATTTTGTTTTATTCGTGAAATCATACGTTGTCGTTCAGTGTACAATTTTTTAAATCATCGATCAACCCAACCCTTTAAAGGAAATTGTCGACTATAATATGTTATTATCCATATTATATGTACTGTATAGTGGAAAATTTGTCAATTACTATTGTTTCGACATGCGGACAACTATAATTTCAGTATCTACCTGGCTCAAAACGTTTTTCACTAAAACAATCATTTTGTTTAAGATTAGTAGTTGTTATGCATGCTGACTTTTGGCACTATTCGGTGGAATTTTTTACAACAGCGAGAGAGTGTTTAAGGCTTTCTATGCACCAATGACGCAAAAATAAGACTTAAACGCGTAAAAAAATAGAACATTTTTTTCTTCTCCACGCCTAGGTTGTAATCGAACGCGGCAATTACGTACTATTACGCGCATTATGTATACCACGAGACTGAAGCGGCGGAATACGGCTGTAACGGGACATTGGCATATAGCATTATGATACAACATAGCTTTAGGTTTGTATGAAATAATAATACACAACGGACGGGAAAAACAGGGGGAAAACGGTAAAAAAAAAAAACCACCGAAAACGAATTAACCTAAAACGCGAAAACCACGCCGCCGTCGCGGTCGAGTCGTCGTTGGCGGATAAACAGACCGAATCGCCACTGAGCCTGAGTGGCGATTTATATCATTGCACATGTTATAAGCAGTCAATATGACGATGACAGTGTACCGACCTTTTGCGACAACCGTGTCGTCCGCCGTAGTCCGCGCCGCCGTCGCCAGTTGTGATCCTCCGTTTTGTGTCACCACCTGTTCTTGAGACGGCTGCTGCTTTTTTTTACCGGTCATCACCACGCCAACTTTGGACGCCACCAACGGCGACAACTTTCTACCGCTGCCGTTCAACTGGCGTTCCAGCTTGACGTCGGTTTTAGTGAACGACGTCGACGATGTAGACGATGACGAGGAGGAAGTGGACGGACGGCGACTCCTCTTGTTCCGGTGATGATACTGGTATTGATAACTATGGTCGTCGTCGTCATTGTTGCTACAGTCCTCGTCGTCGTCCTTGCGGTTTTGGTGGAGATCGTCACTCGCAAAGTTGTCGTAGGTTGGTGATGGCTCCACAGGAGCGGGGACCGGAGCCGCTGCTGCCGCGGGAGGTTTGCGATTCTTAACGGGAGATGGTGGTGCCGAGGACGGTTTCGATTTTTTGGAAATTTTACTCGCCGGCGGACTTGAGTTCACCGAGTCATCCGTGTCCGGGCTGTCGTCTTTATTGGCGCTAGTGTTCTGCTGTTTGGTTTTCATTCCTGAAAAACGAAAACAACCTTTAGAAAATGTTCAGCGATATATTGTATTCACGAGACTTAGGGGGGAAGGAAACAGTACTTAAAAAGTTATTCAGATTTCAACATTTCAAGATTGTTTAGTGCTAAATAATAACAATAATAATAAGTGGCAGCATGTTGCGCCAATTGCGCCTGCTTTTCCTCATTGTTTGATGAAGGAATTTGACTTAAAATCGTAGATGTGGATATAATTCAACACCAACACGCCTTACGTCTAACCGGGTTTTCTTATAATATAATAATTGGGCGCAGTTGCAACTGCAGTAGGCCATCGTGAGTTTTTATACACGCATGTCTGGACAGTATGATTTATAAGACCAACATAAATAATATATAGAGAATTCGTCATAAACATTATCTGTTGCAGGAGGTAGTAAAAAGCTGCAGGAGATGTGACGTATCTAGGTGGGCGCGCATTTATTACTATTAACCTTTACCATCACTTTACCATTTACCAATATTATGGTATAACATTAAAATTAACGAAGAGATCTAACCAAATACTGAACTTGATCAACTATTTAAGTCCTATACGCAGTACTTGGTACTTTCGGAAAATCGTCTTCGGAAATAATAGAATCATCTTAGTTATAAATAATTTGACGTCACGATAGCTCTTCCCCAAGAAATCTACTATTATTTATAATAATTTAATTAATGTATATTTTTCCAAAAATATTAAGTAATATCGATACACAGTTATTAGGATATTATTTTATAATTTCGACGCAGTACACATAAATACTTAATATCTACCAATTAATATAGTAGTAGTAGCTGCTTTCGCTTCCGATATAATATATTTTAATCTAGACATTTACGTACGTGCATAATTGTTTTTTAACTCTATTATTTGTCGACCAAGCCTAACGCCATTTTAGATTAAACTCACTGGTAGGCTACCTATAACCACTCCGCACTCGACGACAATATTAATATAATACGGGAACACCAAATAACTATAACACATTTTTATTTTCAATTACACATAATATTTTAGTGACATATAGTGTACGACGACGACCACGATATGACCAACATTCGGCAATATTATTATTAACCTCGTTATTGATTCTTATTAAAAAGAGCCAAGATGCAGTACTAAGGAGCTAGGAGGACAGATTTTCTGAAATATCTATTCGCAACACTGCGCGACAAGACAAAAACCGAGATGCTGAAAGTGCTCAAGACAATAATTTTATATTATCTTGGGGGCCGAATGCTCCGGAATTTTGTACGTTCACGCTTTATGCGTCGGATAACGATATAGAGGAAACAAAAAAAACCATCTGCAGGGCAGCGTGAGGTTATAATATTATACCATCGCACCGAATACAAAATGTTATATAAAACCATCGTCGAGTTATACTTGTTTCATCGCCAAACAACAAAGCCGCTGTATGGTTCTGATGATGCGACGACAGTTCACAATAATAATAATAATAACGATCGTCCTCTGCAGTTTCGAAAGAAACGGTTACAAAAAAGCGTTTTTTTTATTATTATATTGTTCGTTTGTTTCGTATACGTACAGTACAAGTATTATTGGGCGTATCGTATACTTAACAGCAAATATCATCACTGTACTGTGCACACACACACACGCGCGCGCGCCTACACGCATACACACTCGTAGCGTTAACGATTCACGGACAACGCACACAATTGATATTTTTCAAACAGTATAGAGAGGAGATTTGGTTTTTTCTTATTGTTTTTATCGTTTTCTCGTGTACGCACGCGGATATAATGTCATATTATATTTTATACGTCATAATATAATCTCAAGACACTCTAATATTGCCTCAAATATAGTTAAGCCCGTTTAGATAACGACGGTCACACGACGACAGCTGCAGCTGTGTCACACACCACAATAATAATATATGCACACTGTATAACATATGTTTTTATTTTTTTTTTATAGTTGTTAAGAACGAATGTCGGATATACATTATATTACCTGCCTATAACACAATACACAGTCATACATATAGATAGGAAAGTATTCAAAATCGAATAGTTTCTTTTTTCTTTCCGATATCTTATATCATAGAATATAATATACAACGTCCTTCGGGTAGACCATTATTATATATTGTTATTTCGACAATATCTTCAGACATTACCATTTCAAATACACCGTAGTCATATACGTTACATACAGGTTGTGGTTACTGTTATAGTGGTTTTTCGTTTTGTATCGAATCGAATCAGAGCTTTATTTTCATTTCCGGAAGTGCGAGCTTTTCCGATGAGCCATTGCTATTAAAGTCCCCAACCAGCATAGAATCATTCCCGCAGAACACAATATACATACATTATGATTTAAGTAATTTTTTACCGAATAGTCGGGATGTACATCTGCAGGGCCGCGTTGAAATTACCTATCTTGATTTTTCCCGTATAACCCGAACCTGGGCCTTCATCGAGCAAATAATTATACTTTTAATTGGTGATCGCCATGCACGAATATTCTATTGTGTAATTACTAATTGAACTGAGCACTGCAGAAACAACACGTCTCGTCTCTTATCGTCGTAGGTATGATAACATTTCGTTTGTGTGCCCGAGTAACACTTCATACTATGTTATCGGTACCTAACACATGCATTATCGTAACCCATTATCATGTATTCGTGTCAGACTGGCAACAAATCGTTTTTTTTTTAAATTTTATTATTTAGTTCGATTTCAAGTTCAAGTACCCCGTGCCAAGTACCACCGCTGCGGTCATCCTTTATCGTCGGCGGTCGTTCCGCTTTCCGCTGGTGCGTTATCGACATGGCGGCGAACTATATACAGTCATCATTCGACTCTGGCAGACCGCGAAGTGATTTTGCCTCTCCAAGGATCTTTATGAGATGCTCGCCATTATCATTATTCAATTTTCTTTCAAAAGTCGAGGGGTGGGGTGATATTTTTACGGTACACTGACTTGGGACCGACGATCGGACGTGCACGCACAGGATCTCGGCGCATTCAAGGTGAAAATATAATATACGACTTTCCGACAAAACCCACAGCGAATTCTCGACGGACTCACGCGCGCGCGCACACACACATATATTGTCTGCACCAGATGAATAGAAACCTAACGTCAATCATCAGCCCGCACTCCCCTCACCCAGCACACTGGCCGACACAACCACATGCACTGCTGCAACTATTATAATATTATTATTATGGTTCTTTGCGCGCTGGTCGGTCGCGATGTGGTAATGCGCGCGCCTCGGAAACGGGCAAAACAAAACTCCAAAATGTAATATCATAATAGCGGCTACAGGTAGAGGTTAGGGTGCCTATACACGCGTATCGATGACAATATTATCGTTAATTGAATTTGTCGTTCTCCAATGAGGTTGACGGCTGTATGTATACACCGTGCACACGAATAATTACTTATTGTTACTGTATATACATCGACATCATAATACACGCAACGACGTCCTTGGCATGTGCTAACAATATATTATTTGATGCCTACCTTTAGGCTTATAATACAATATAATTCTGCCCACACCCACGTACGGTGTGCCTACATGGTATTGTGTCGTTCGAAGAAAATCTAACAAAGTCGTCGACGAGACTCGGTAAGATTAAAATAAGAAAACCACGTGAAAAACATAAGGTATGATACCGACATGACATAACAAACTGTACAGTGTGTCTGTTTGATGTTTACATATGTTCACTGATAAATATTTAAGCAGTCAGCTGCAATATGACAGTATGACCTTACACATTGAAATTAGGTATGTTTTAATAGCTATAGAAACATAGGTAGTACTTACTAAAATTCTCATTTCGGAAAAAGTTTTTAATCCTATCGTTGTACGTATACGAGTAAACAACTTGGTTTTATAAATAGCAACCCACATTTTTTAACCGGATTATTCCCGTAATTTTAATTTATTTATTATAACAACCAAAAAATGGCTAAGCTAAAGCTATTTAAAGTTAAGGAAATTTTTTTCATAAACTTGACCAAACTTAAAGTAGGTAAACAATTTTTATGGATTCTGAAAAAAATGTTGTGCTAAAAAGTGACAAATATTTATATACTTTTAGCATACCAAAACATATTATACTTTATCAACAGAACCACTTAAATTTACATTCAAACTTAAAATAGCTGCAACTTGGTAGACGAGAGTACAATAAATTGTAAAAATATGGGTGGTTGTTTAAAAAAATCCAGCTAGATCTGCTAACCAGCGGGTCTATAAATAAAACCACCCGTTTTGCGAATTTGTTACAGTTCTGCGGTTTTACTCGCAAAATGTATACATATACAACACAGGGCAAACTAAAGGAAGGCCAAGGATACCCCGACTATACCTCTCACACGCCCACACGAGTATTACACACGATACGGAATATATTACAAACATTGGCATTTGGCACTCGATCGGATTTTAATTAAAAATTGTTATAATAAGTTAAACCTACGAGTAAAGTTGCGTTCGAAAACATTTATTACGAAGCGGCGAACGCGCGTACTTATTGCCTATACGTACACCGTTACGTTATATTATATTAAAAATTGTATTTCGTGGAACTTTCAACTAGTCGTCGGGCAGCTGTACCAACGACATACGCATAAATGGTTTATTATTATTATCTAGGTACTCAAAGTTTGTGCGAGGACCGCGTGTTTTAGGTCAAACGGACGATCATTAAGTACACGTTCGATTATAGATCTTATAAGGCCTGTAGTTAAAAATTTGTCAAGTGACCTTGTTGTTTTTTTGCGGGTTACCTATTGTTACAATACTTTGTTCTCGCTGATCACTTTCAAACGTAATTATAATATAATGCAGACCGTAGAAACACTGTATCTGCCGGGGCATAGTACATTACTACATAGCTCCCAGTGCGCGATTTCAAGAGCGGTGTAAAGTAAGAATATACTTGTAAAAGAAGTGGTAAAACACGTCCACGCACACAAATAACTAATTATTAACGTAAATACCTAATAAATATTTAATACGTGATGATTTAAACTTAAACCAAACCTCGGAAGGCGTTATTTTTTTTTATTTCATTTTCGCAAATGGTCTTATCATATTCTTTACTGTGCTAATATCATAAGCAATTTATCAATTTTTAAATTTCTCCACACATTATTCTAAAAATTTTATTTTTCGTTCTCTTTGAAATAGAGTACCTAACATAAATGTCGATATTATTACTATACATTATTATGTTTTAACAATCAAAATAGGATAGTGAACATTTTATAGTAATGAGCAATATAGAATATCAATAGCTGAATAGCATTATGGAGTTACAAAGGCTTAAAAACAAAAACTATGTTTCCTAACATACCAAAATTGCATTTAAATAAAACGCCCTGTATACACTGATAAATCAGAGAATATAATATTTCTACGTTTTGAATAATTGTCAAATTAGTTTTTGAGCTGCAGGAGGAAAAACATAATGTGTCATTGTCTCGTTTTCCCCCTTCCTTCGCGCAGTATTCTCACGTGTTCTATCGGAGTATCACATATTCATCACAATATGCAAAATGGGATTCGAGCTTAATACATACATTTTAGGAATTCGTGTAAAAAAATTATACCATTATTACCTATGTACCTAAATATTTTATGCTTAACTGATTTCAATAAATATACAAAATATCTGGCTCATCTGTTATGGATATCATTGAAATAATAGCCATATTAAAACAATTTGATTTTATTTACATACGGGGAAATGGGGAATAAAATATTACTTACATAATAATACTATTATATTATGTAAGTATTGTAGGTAATATTATTATATTATGTATATTGTTTTACATAAATAAGACTTAGTTGGCAAATTTTAAAAGTTTAAGTTTGAAAACAAAATGTTTTGAATGATCATACCTACCTATTCACTGTGGTAATTAACACTATCATTAAACGGAACTGATAAAAATAATATTATAAACAAATACGTGTTTGAGGCATTAACGTATGGATACCTAGTATTATTAAATAAATGTATTTACAATTATATATCAATTGAATACTTAATTAGGCAGGATACTTAATACACTACTGTCTACGCCACACGATGGTTATTTTTCTTATTTGTTCAAGAGTAAAAGAACTAGAAATAAAACATAAATACACAACATAGTGTGGAATAACAAAATTATGTTATGACGACAATACATGGCAAAACGTGCACGCATGTACAAAATTCCAGAGGACGATAAAAACCCAAAACAGTAACAATAATAATAATAATAATAACAACAACAATACACCTTGTTTCGGGTAGTCGACCCTGGGTGGAAGTGGTGAAGTGGGGAATCGAGGTGGGTGGCATCCCGGACTAAAACGGTGCAACAAAAGCAGACGGATCCGAGTCCATACTGCCGAGATTTTTAGAGCTACAACAGCAGCCAGCAGCAGCATAATAATATATAAAAACGCGTTTTATTATACGAGTACTTGAGAAACGAATTCTTTCGCGTCCTTTCGTCGTCGATGTGTTCCGAGGGACCACGCGGCACGAAACACGTTGGCCTTGGGTATTTTACTGCGCAGTAAAAACACCATATTTCATCAGCCCCACTCCGAGACCCCATCAAGGGAACCCTCTTTTTTTTGTTCTGTCGTTCGTCCCCGCCCCTCTAACACACCCCACGTAGTTTTAGAGGGGCTTGTTCGCAGTGCTCGGTGACCTGCACGCGCGAACGGTGAGGGGTCGCGTTTTCGAGGCAAAACGGTTTCACGGAACAACAAGCTGGTCCGAGCCGTGAAATACGTGGATTTTTCGCTGAAAATTATATTTAGAAAAAAAACATGCGTGAATCCACGTATTCGAACGTGTCGTTTTCTGCAAAACTCAACCGCAGTTTAATAGACGGAAAACACAAAAATCACGTAATATTATGGCTCGGTTTAAACATTCGCCGTCGAGTCGGTGCGAACCAAATACTTAATATTATTGTTATTAAACATATTTCATGCAGGCCGTTTTTTGTTTACGTAGACGAAAACTCAAGGACTTGAAAAATATGGGAGGGCCTGAAATACCTGACAGGGCTCTCGAAGATGCCTATAATAATATGTTATAACCACGCTTATTGAGAGTACCTACCGTGGTAACGCAACACATTATTATATTATACGCGTTTACGACCAAACCACCGGCGCGGTGTTTGTGTTTAATATCATGATGTTTGGGAATTATTTTTAGAAGCCCTATTCGAAGCGGTCGACGACGCAGCAGCTGCCTACTGGCTCTCTCGTTGTTTGCGCGCGCGCTCTCTCTTCTCACCCACTCTCTCTCTAGATCACTCTTACTCACACTCTCTCTCTCTCGCGCACTCGCGCACTCCCCCCCACATAGTCTCGATCACCCCATCACAAAGTATCTTCTCTAGAGTACGATCTCGCATGCGGAAGACGCTATTTTGGGACACCCTTGGCGTGCGCGTGACAAAGAGTTTTATTTCAATGCGTACCTACCTACGATATAAAGATACGAGTGTAACAGGTACTGATGATGGTATGAGCAGCGATCAATACGACACACAATAAAACTAGGCTGCGGAGAGGCCGGGTAGGAGAGCGACAGAGATAAAAACGGTAGGTATCCAGCAGCCTATTGGACGCGAGATTCACTGCAGGTATAATAATAATAATAATAATAATAAGTAACATAAAGAACGTCGACGATACTGCTGCAGCCGACCTACCCGGAGGCGAACCGGAAACGACCGAATTCCAGACGCGCGCGCTCTTAACCTACACGGCGGTTACACCTGGCCAACCGCCCGCCAACCAACTAAACTAAAAAACCCACCCATCGTCCGGTCGAGTGGGTGACGAAATACGAATAGAAATAGAGACATTAGGAACACTCACGTTTAGTTGCGGGGGGTGTAGACTGATGATGTTGCTGCTGCTGCTGCTGCTGCTGCTGCTGCTGCTGCTGTTGTTGCTGTTGATGTTTCTGGGGTATCGTGGTTGAACCGTAGACGTTATATAGGGCCTTAGCACAGAAAAACAACGCAAATACAAACAATATTCCAGCAAGCAAAGAAGCAAATTTCTGCATGGAATAGAAGTTATTATTGTGCTTGTCCATCAGGGATGCGGTGAAACTGTTACCCACAACAACGTCCAATATACTTTGTGCGGTCAGCGATACAGTATCAGCGACCAACACATTGAATCCGATTAATAAACACGTGGTCATGACTATGCACATGTCACGGCGTCGTCTTCGCGATCGCACTAAAGTAGTCGTCGTCGCACAGTATTAATTCACTGATTCCGCTGCGGTAGGTACGCACTTTCGACGCGGTCGTATGCGGCGTTCCGCGGGCATTTAAGAAAAAAAACACACAGTTGAGAAAAAAAAGTCGAAAAAATAAATGCCTGACAGAGATCGATTGGTTTGTTTGGAAAGAAACAATAACTGATATTATAATAATTATTATTGCTTAATATCATAACCATGTGTTGAGAAGTACGCTACGACTCGAGTGCTATAAACTATTGTCGTTAAAAGTCAAAAACGCGAAGTATCACAGTACAAAATAGGTTTACGTACCTACCTGATAATATAAAAACGGTACGGAAAAATACAAATAAAAAGATGATTAATAATAAAATAAAATCACTGGCGGGAAATGATATAACGCGCGCGGGTCGCGGACGCACACATGCACACACTGTTTTTTATTATTATTATTACGGACACGCGCGCACGGCACACGGACGGAGAGAGTTGATCGCACGACGCGGCCAAGACGGTACCGGGCAGACGAATGACAGGAGAGAGCAGTCGGTGCCAGACGGTGTGTTACAGTGAGTGGCCCGCTGCTGGCTCACGGCGAGCTGCAGCTGCTCGTCGGCCGACGCGACGGCTCGACCGCAATGACGCGCCATCTGGCGGATGATATCGGCATTCCGCACGTAACGTGGAATTATTATACTACCTACAACAATAACAATAATAATATCTTATTGTTGTTATTATAACGGTAAAATAATAACAAATTATATTAAAAATAATAATAATGGTAGTAATGGGCGGCTGCATCGTTTCCCCGAATTTAATACGGGGTTCCTCACTACACAATTCGTCAACTTCGCAAACATTTGCAAATTATTTTCAATTTGAATATCTAAGGATTGAACATTTAAAACTAAGTTTTTCGTTAGTTATATTATACCTACAATTATACTGTAACCAAAAAACTTAAAAGATATAAGGTGGACGGTCTGTCTTTTTTTATCGTTTTTCGTATAATATAATATTAATATGCAATGATTTATCATTGAATTCAAATTTAACAAGTCCATTACAGTGACGTACTCGACACCTACAACTGTACAGCAGAGCGACACTCACTTGTCAACCTTTTTTTCAATTGAAAACCAATTTTTAGATTTTTGGTTGTTTTGAAATTGATTGAAATTTTAAACAAGCTTTTGACGAGTTCCTATATTTTTTATTGAAAAATGGTTATGAACCTAAAAATATTACTTGTATTTCCGATGTTTTGATCAGAGAAAAAATAATAAGCAGAATTAAATCAACAGGTTACAGGGCTATGATAGATTTTATTTGAAGTCGAAGAATTATTGAACTTAAAGCAAAATAGCTGTATTAAAATATAGTTACATATCTAATAATATAATAGGCATTATGTTCTAATTAGTAATCATACCAATAATAATAATTAGGAATTAGGATATAACCAACCAATTTCGGAAAAAGCTAATTCTCCAGATCACAATCGTGTTGTAAGATAATATAATATACTAGCATTCCAGTTTCACGTTCAAAAACCTTCAGGATAATTACTCACGTATATAGTTCAATGTAATAGTTTAATACATAGTTCACCGCATATTTTATAAATGTCTACAATAATATTCATAAACTAAAATCATGTAATATAAGTATAAAATGTGAACAAAATATGAGAAAACAAAAGTTTTATTTTTTAACAAACGCGTACTATTAAAAAGGTCTATAATTTTAAAATATTTTATAGTGGAATAATTATTAGGTGCGTGCTGTAGCAAAATTTGGGAATTTTAAACACTGGATCATTGGCAGTTTATAAAGTGCTATACCGATCTTGTGATCGTCCGACGACTGAATTATTTACACATTTTAAGTAAATTAAATAAATAATTTAAAATTAATTTGATGTGGTTTGGTACCGTCCAAATTTTAATAAAGATTAGTAATATTATGGTATCCTTGTCAGTCATCAGGTGATAAGTCTAAATTGGAAATAGTATGACAAAAATGTCTACTTTTTCTTCACTATATTAAAATATGATAGGTACATTCCCAAAGAACCTCAAACTTCATACAATCCTCGTTCTATTATCCATACCAAACTTTGAGATGTTGAACCGGTATCGAATAATTTTTGACTTATGTATCCTATAGACACTTTTGGCCGGTATAATATCGACTGAACCGATTTCTTAAGTCGTTTATCCTTCTCTACTCCTGTAGGTTCCAAATCGTAATACACTGTAAAAAAACGTATTTTATATACGCTTACAAGCTACTAACAATTGAAAGTAACACTCTCTGTAATATAATTATGCAAACCGTTATCAACCCAGATATTAATGCATTCAACTCACCAAGTTTATTTCACTTTCAAGCTGTATTGTAATTATTTTATAATTCATAACTAATAATATTACACTTGTGTGTTATATTTAAAGACATTATTATTTTTATTACTATTCTATTATATTTCAATATAATGTCTATCACGCTAATGATTGTAATACGATTCTTATTATCAGCTGTAACAGGGCCATGGCCATTTAGTACCAAACAAATAAATAAACGTACCGTCTTTTTTCTTCGGACTGCAGTGATAACTGCAGATATTTATAATTATTTCAATGTTTTTTTCCTAAACAAGACGATATTATGTATAATATATATTGGTGGATTTACCGATGCTTAGTAATATTATCATTATCATTATGACGCGCTCTCCCGACACCCGTTATGTTGTCGTATATCCTATATCGAACAGCGAGGTCGGGTTTTTTGTTATTATTATTATTATTTTAACCGAAACACCGAATGTCCGAATGACTCGTTTTCTCGTATTAGTTTTTTATACGATACATACACGACTCATCGATGGTGGTATTGATTCACGGTCTCGTGGGTGTCTACATTGTGACGCTGCAGTGTGTAGCTGGTCTTTTCCGCAGGAACCTATCTCTCGCGTGATGACGACATATTATTATATTTTATCGGAAACCACGTTTTCTGTGTTTAAACGAACGTGGTAATGCGTCACAGGACTTAACTCTTCTTGCAGTATCACGGTAAGTATATAATATTATAATGACATAATGTATAGATGCATTTGCATCATCCACGGCGTCACTGAAATACCTATATACCTACGATTTACGACGCCCGCGGTTCCAAAAAACCAGAATACGAACTGACCACACATATTCCTATTTGCCGGTGTTTAGCGTTGATTAAGCGAAATTGTATATTTTTTTTTTATTATTTTTTTTTATTTGAAATTACTCATGACAAATCATCAATTCGGCTGACGATCAAAACTGACACAGAAATAGAAATGTCTGCAAACTGCAGTTTCCCTAATCATCACCACCACACACGACCTCACAAACATCGTTTTCGGCAATAAATAAAAAATAAAAATTATGATGAATATTAATTCATCCTTCTTGTCTAACATTACGTGTTGTATTGTAGCCTAGAAGCATGTGTAGACAGTATGGTGACGAGTACTCACTTCAGATTCTTCGTCAGAAACAGTAATATAATTATCTGCACTGTCACGAAAGTTTTTTTTATGAATTAAAGCCTGGGATACGTGAGGAATAATATGTGGGTAGGCTTAAATTTGTTTAAATCTCAGGCCATGCGTAAGACTTTTTTGAAGTTTGTCTCCTTCAATTAGCACCAATTGGTAATTATACGGTTTGTTTGTATAGTCTAAAACGCGTATAGTTTAAAAAAATGTTATCCTATTATAGAACGAAATGTTATTTTTATCTACTGGGGGAATAGAGATAAATTCTAAGACTACACCTAATAATCTGCATACATAAACAATACGTTACAATTTACAAATGTTGAAATCTAAAAAAAACACCACGTGCTATCCTCTCCCTAATAGGTTAACGTTTTCAACTATACAAATTTATGTTTTCTAATATATTAGCATATTACATAACTACTCAATTAAATGATCTCATATAATATATTTATATTATATTAAATGTTATTTATTATATTAACATAAAACACGCGATTTGTCCTAGTCTTGTTCGATTGTTCACAGACGTGTAAGTCTTGACTCTTGACTCTTGAGTGATTTACTGTCAAGTTACAGGTACCTATACTACCCAATATAGATATATAGTAAATGGAACATCGTTGACGTACATAAACATCATCTATCATTGCTTAAAGTACCTATATAATTACCCGTTTATTTATGTTACTGTAGATACCATGTATTATAAGCTGAATAATATATTCTTATATTATTATAAAAAACTAAAAAAAGTACAACATGATATGAAATACGTAATAACATAAGGTTTTCATTTGTATGATCTAAATCTGAAAACGGTTTAAAATGAAATTGTTATTTCAGTGGCGAGAAGTAAATAATATTATTTTGGATTCTATTGCAATTTAACACAATAATATGTAAGCTCAATTTTAATATAATGCATTTAAAAAATAGATATAGAATAAGATGATAATACGTTACAATGTTTTCAAGGTTTGTACGTTACCGTTTGGTGTTTGACGTTTGTATACAATTTTCATCTCATTGAAGCATAATGTAACAACATAATCATACTTCATATTGTTATCTTATTCGACTATGTTTGTAGATTAAATAGATATTTTATAATACATTTAGAGGTCATATTATAATAAATGTAGAGCTCGGGAGTTATTTCACTAAAAAGTTACTTTTTAGGCCTTTAAAAAATTACCATTTAATAACAAAAAAAATTGTGATGGAACATGTAAAATTAAATTTAAAAAAAAAGAATATTTAAATTTTTTTAAATAAGTAAATAGATATAGTCGTAATTTTATTTTTATTAATCATATTTATTGATAGAGAAAATAATACTTTTCAACTATATCACACAAAAAATAATAACTCACTTCAGTTTATACAATAGTGGCTTTGTTTTTAATAATTCCAATTCTAATTTTAATAAATACATTTTGTCTTTTTGATTATAAAAATATTTAACAAAATGTATTTGATTCCATACATATGTATAATTATATAGCATTTAAAATTCTAAATAAGGAAGCATTAAAATTAATATTCAAAAAGGTTTGCGAATGACATCACAGAAAAGTGTGAAACAAATTTGTATCTTATTTAGGATGTTCTAAGATTTACTGAAAAGGCAATGACTTTTGACATCTGATAAACAATCTTATAAGAATTATTATCTCAAAATAAATTTAATTCGTATTTTTAATTTTTAAATCATTGTATTACCTACGTGTATCCATAAAATATACATTATAAATATGCAATAACAATGGACAATAAATAAATCTAAAAAATAATAAAAAATAATAATATAAATAAATAAATAAACAAATCATTCTAGGTACTTTCTTTTTTTTTACAATGACTAGTAAAAACAACAAAAATAGTTTAGTGGAATCGTTACAGGGAATTATTATTAGTATAATTACATACTTGATGACGTCAAGTAACCCTGTAATAATATGGGTAGGTAAAGACTAAAGAATATTTCAAAAATGTTTTGTTATTTTTAGAACTAAAATTGCTTTAA